TTAGGGTTTGCATGGAGCCTTCATGATGTGGGCATGACTAATGACGTCACTGGCCATGGTGACTGAGCTCAGTCTCCAGCCCCTCTCCCTTCCCAGGAAGTCAGGGGATGAGTCTGACCTCTGTTCACAGATGGTTCCCTTGGCAACCAGCATCCCCATCTCTAGGGGCTTTCCAAAAGTCACCTCATCCATATCAACTGAGTTGGGATTGAAAGAGGCTATCACAAGACATCCATTTATGGCTCTGAAGTGATTTTAGGAACTAAAGACAAGAGACCAACTATAACAAAAGGTCTTCCCATTGCCCTTAACACTTAGGAGATTCCAAGGGTTTGGGGAGCTGTGAGCCAGGATGGAAAAACCAAAGTATCTATGATAAAACCACTCACAATCTGCCCGTTCTGGATGGAGGCTGCCCTCTGTTTACCTTGATGTCCTTCCAATGCCTCTCAAGGTTTTTCTCACTTCCTCGATGTTGTCATCCTTTCTGAAAACTTTTATTGTCACCCTTTCTGATGACTTCCAAAGCTGTATCATCAGCCTATGTCTGTACAGCCTGCTGCCTCCTGGGCTATGCTATCCGGCTGTCCCTCTGGGACCTCCAAAGCACATCTCCCAAAATTTAACCTGACACCTTGCTCTCTCAGCCTGTTTTTCCACTGTTGCCATTCAGCTCAACCTAAAGCCCAGATGTCATCCTAATTGGCTCCTTCTCCTTCATCTTCCACCCACAACGACTCATCAAGTCTTGCCAACTTCTCTCCTACAGGGAGTTCTCTCCGTCCCCATAGCCCATGGTGGTTTCTAAACCTGTTATTTCTATAGCCTGGTTGTCCTGCCCCTGATACCAGCAAAGGGTAACTTCGTTCAAGCTCAGACTTGATGAGGTCATTTTCCCGATGAAAATCCATTAGTAGTACCTAATTTTACTCAAAAGATAAAACCAAGCTTTATTCCTCAAAAACTAAACATAGAGTTACCATATGGCTCAACAATTCCACTCTGGGTACATATCAAGAAAACCCAAAAAAACTAAAAGCAGGGGCATGAGCAGGTATTTTCCCACCTGTGTTCATAACAGCAAAATAGCCACAAGGTGGAAACAACCCAAAGGTCCATGGATGGATGGATAGGTTAACAATGTAGCATAGACATACAGCGGAATAGTGGTTGGCCTTAAAAAAGAAGAAACTTCTGCAGAAGGCCACACATGCTGCACCATGGATGTTATGTTGAGTAAGTTAGCCAGTCACAAAGAGCCAAATGCTGAGTGATTCCACTTATATAAGGCGCCTAGAGCAGTCATATTTGTGCTTGACTTTCCATAGAATGTAGACTGGTGGTTGCCTGGCATTGGGGGAGAAGGAATGGGGAAGAAGTATCACTTGAGGGAAATGCCAAAAGTTCTGGAGATGGACAGTGGTGCTGGTTGCACAGCCCTGTGAATGTACTCAATGCCACAGAACTATACACTTAAGTATGGATAAATGGTAAGTGTTATGTTGTGCATATTTACCACAGTAAAAATAAAAGCAAGTAAAAAACCACCAAGCTCCTCACCATGGCATATAGGTCTTTCTGGATTAGCACTCCATCCACAGCTCTCAGCACACCGCCAACACCTTCTCCTATAGCTCTCAGTCCTCAGAAGAAGTCAGTGACCTGGGGTTTTCACGCCTTGGTATGGTGCTCCCTCTCCTGACATGCCCTCTGCCCTCCCTCCCGCCACCTCTCCTCTCCTCACAGCCCCTGAACAATTCTTTTCCCTTACCTTCTGAATTTCAGCAAACTCTCTGCTGCTTAGTTTCCCCAGGCACCCCAGCCCTTCAATTGGTCTTCTAGGAATGGTTACCCAGGTTCTGGGTCTCTTTGATTTTGTCATTCGTCATCTCTGGCTGTGGCAGGAGGGTACCAATGTTCTCCTCTCTGAGATCCCCCACCCTCACCATGCACTCTGCCAGCCTTTTCCCTGCACCCAAGCTAAGAACCCCATGCTAGTTCCCCTGTCAAGTTAAAGGCTCAATTCTCAGTGTATCTCAAAATTTACTTTTATAGTCAATAACCTGGGAAACAAATCCGCTTTATACACTCCCCTTCAGTTGCTCTTAGTCATAGAAATAGCTTTGAACTTGAGTTATGTAGATGTCGAGCAAGTTTCAGTAACCTAAGTTAATGTGTTACAATGGGCACACTTAAAACAAGGTAGGAATTGTTTTACAAATAAAGCAGGAAATGAAAATGTCTAAAACCAGGATTTAGACTAACTTAAAACATTGATTTCTGTATTCATTATTGTCTAAGTCATACTGCAGAAATCCCAAAGTCTTAGAGGCTAAAACAAGGGAGGGTTACTGCCCAGCCAGTGTGGCTCGGTGGTTGAGCATCAACCTATGAACCAGGAGGTCACGGTTCAATTCCTGGTCAGGGCACATGCTTGGGTTGCAGGTTTAATCTCCAGTTGGGGGCGGGTAGGAGGCAGCTAATTAATGATTTTCTCTCATCACTGATGTTTCTATCTCTCTCTCCCTCTCCCTTCCTCTCTGACATCAATGAAAATATTATTTTAAATAAGTAAATAAATAAAATAAAATAAAAACAAGGGTTTATTTCTCACTCAAATTACATGCCCTTCATGGGTTAGCTCTATGCTGCATTCATACCAGGAGGAAGGAACAGACCATATTTGGTATGTATGTTTTTGTGGCAGGAAAGAGAGAGAGGGGGGGGGGGGGGGGAGATGGCAGAATGCACATGGCTTCTGAGATTTTCATCACTTTCACTCTCCTTGAATAGGCCAAAGCCAATGTCAGTGGGCAAGGAGATATAATTCTGTCATTTATACGTAATAATTGGAAATAATATAACCTATTCCAGACCCACACTCTTGCTTATAAGTATTTCTTTCCTTCCCTTTGGCCACAAAATATGCTCATCCCCTCTGCAAGGGAGACACCCTGAAAGTCCCGTCCAATTATAACATCAGACTTGAGATCTAGAATCCCAGGAGATGCAGCAAATGTGGATATGGCTTCTCTTAGAGACAACGTGAACTAATAAATAAAATGGGAGCTATATAGCAGTCTAAGACTGAGAGCAATTCTGAAATCCTGTTGGACAGACCTTGGGGTGAACAATATTCTTTAATTAAACCCTCATTCTGCATCCTGGAAATTACTCATGATTTCAAGTATAATGCCCAACTTCACCATGTGAGGGATCCAGCCTTTCTACTCCCCATGCTCATCTAACAAGGGCGTTGGAAGTTGTGTCCTCCCTGGGGTCTACTAGTATATGGCTTCTCCTCATAATGTTATGCCCATAGAAGGTTGGGAGCCCCACGATAATAGGGTTATGGAGTCTTTTAATGCTCTTGGCCAGTACAGTTCTCTCCAAAATGTCATCTATTTGGTTCCAACTGGTGTATACTTGTAGCCACGCCCAAACTTATCCTTGAGACACACTTCTCTCTCAACTTAAGAGCCAGCTTCCTGGAGAGTCACCTAACGCATTCAGAGGTTTTGACAAGGGACACTTGGATTTGTTTTAATAGGCCTATATTGCTATTTAAATCATTTCTCCATTTTCTCTCTTCCTAGTTGGAGGTGAGAAATAACTATTTTTCCTGCAAGTCCAGGAATTTCTGAGTTGTGTCTAGAATTGATTGCAAGCCAATCAATTCTTTTCTGAGCTCATCTCCTTCTTGTAGCACCCTGTCAGATGCAGCTATTTGCAACCGGAGCGCTGTTTCCCACACTTTTTCCCCAAAGCCACAAAACCGTTCAATAGGGATCTGTCCTACAAGTTACCACAGGCAATGATTTTACCAAGTGTTTTGCTACTGCATAAGAAAGGTGATTTTCTTTCTAGTCTCCAATAACAGTTTTCTCATTTCCCTCTGCCTCGCCCTGGAAGCCATACATCATACTTGAGAATTTTTGTAATGGTAGTCTATCATTTCTACATAATAATTTCTGCATTGTTTACTTAAAGCACGTTATGCTATGGTAGTGAAGAAGTCCAGAGTCTCTATGACTAATAACAAAAAGTGCATTTCTTTTTTTTAATTTAAAAAATATTTTTATTGATTTCAGAGAGGGAGAGAAAGAAAAAACTATGATGAGAGAGAAGCATCAATCTGTTGCCTCCTGCATGCTCTGCACTGGGGATCAAGCCACAACCCAGCATGTGTCCAGATTGGGAATTGAACCATGACCTCCTGGTCAATGCTCAACCACTGAGCCACACCAACTAGGCAAAAAAAAAAAAAAAAAAAAATCTTACATTATTTTTTTCTTTTTGGGGATATCTGCAGGAATTTCCCACTGTATCCTCATTCTAGGACCCAGACAGAAGGAGCAGCCCCTACCTAGGGCATGCTGTTCTCATGGCAGAAGGAAAAGAACAAATGATATAATCACACAAGGGCTCTTAAAGCTCCCAATGGGCAGTGGCATGTGTGACTTCTACTCACATCTCACTGGCTAAGAAAGTGATGGAACTGAGCCTGATGGAGATGCAGTGGGAAAGCATAATGCTGTCACCAGGAGGGGCAGAGCAGAACCAGGAATGCTGCACCCCCCTTCAGCTGCTCTTCCTCATAAACAGGCTTTGAACTTGCATTTTCTCTTGTTAGAACAAGATCCATACTTACAGCAAGCTGGGAGTTGCTGGCTTCTGGGGAGATCATAAAATTTTTAGAGGAATATGCATTGTCTGAAGTATGACACAACTCTCTATACAAGGGGTGACAGCAGATGGCTGGATGAGTAGGAAACCGAACTAGCAGGTGGCATTTTTTTTCCTCCAAGAGTCTCAGTGGAGGGAGATATGCTGAGCACACACGGTCTTCCCAGTAAGTTCACAAGTATGCTTGGAGCTGAATGTGATGGAGAACTGCTCATCCGATGTTCCAAAAAGCTGGGACAAGTTTCCATAAAAGGGCTTGAGGGTCATACCCCAAGCAGAGTTCTCACCCCTCTTATTCCTCTTTATCTTCACAGTTCGACATGCAAAGGATAACTCTGGAAGAGTTGAAGCACATCCTCTATCACGCCTTCCGGGACCACTTGACAATGAAGGACATTGAAAACATCATCATCAACGAGGAGGAGAGCCTGAATGATACCTCGGGGAACTGCCAGACAGAGTTTGAAGGAGGTAGGTACCCCTGTTTCTGCTTTCTCCCTGGTCAGGGACAGGCCAATGCCTTCACATCTTCTGTATGAAAAACGTGTTGACTGTCTCCTGAGCTGGAATGGCCTTGTGCCAAAGCCAGGAATCCAGAACTGAGGTTAAAAGATCCTTTTGGTAAAGATGCAATTGGTTTCTTTATTTTTTTTTCTTCTATATTTTCCCCAAACTCTGCATTTTTGCAAAACCTCCATTGGCCCTATCCTTCCTCCAGTGACTCTCTGTGGTCTGTGACCAGATATGTGGCTTTGTGGTGTTTGCCTTGACTTAGTGAGGGCTGCACAGGGTTGTGGAAAGGGCCTGTTTAGGCTGTCAGTAAATCTAGATCAACTTCTGTGGCTAATTGTGTGACTTGGGCAAGGAGTGTGCCTTCCCTGAGTGTGTTTCCTCATCTATGCACATCAAGTTAATATGGCCCTAACCGGTTTGGCTAGAGCTAGTGGATAGAGCATTGGCCTATAGACTGAAGGTCCCAGGTTCGATTCCGGTCAAGGGCATGTACCTTGGTCATATCCCCAGTGGGAGGTTTATAGGAGGCAGCTGATTGATGTTTCTCTCTCATCGATGTTTCTAACTCTCTATTCTCCCTTCCTCTCTAAAAAAATTGATAAAATGTATTTTTAAAAAGATAATTACGCCTACTTCTCAGGATCTTTAGAAATGGGATACCTCTATGCTGTGCTCTCCAAAGGCCATGACCAAAAACAGCCCTGTTCATGAAAGGATCCTGCGAACTTAGTGAAGTAGTTACAGAAGTAAGTTCCACTGGGGCCAAGAAAGAGCCCCCTGAGAGGCCATTTTTCTTGGGCTCATGGAAGAAAACAAAACCATCCTACCTTACCCCCCCAATCAGAAGAGAGTTCCAGGGAAGCTTAATGATCTGATCTCTCTTCCCAATGTTGAAGATCAGAACGGCTTTAACAGCTCTGATGTGTCGAATTTTAAAAATTCCATTAAAGCAGCAAAGCAGGCTGAACTTATTCAACACTGAGGTTTCTTACAGAGATCAAACTGTTTTTTCCTATTTCTTTTTCCCCTGAACATAATCAGAAGTTAATATCTACAGATGGTAAGCTATATAATTATCAAAATATGTAAGACAATATATAGAAGAAGGTCACATAGACATGGGAATGGCATTTGATTACCTTGTCTTGGAGCTGACACATCAGAGCTGGCCAGGCCATGACGGGGAAGCTGCTTGGGTAAGCTGACCAGACGTCCCGCTTTTTAACAGTTTGTCCCACATCCTGTGGCGTTTTAAAAATGTCCTTATTTTTTGAATTTTTTTTTTAAATATATTTTATTGATTTTGTACAGAGAGGAAGGGAGAGAGATAGAGAGCCAGAAACATCGATGAGAGAGAGTCATCGATCAGCTGCCTCTTGCACACCCCCTACTGGGGATATGCCCGCAACCAAGGTACATGCCCTTGACCGGAATCGAACCCAGGACCCTTCAGTCCCCAAGCCGACGCTCTATCCATTGAGCCAAACCAGTCCCGGCTATTTTTTGAATTTTTAAAAAAATATATTTTATTGATTTTTCACAGAGAGGAAGACAGAGGGATAGAGAGTTAGAAACATCGATGAGAGAGAATCATCGATCAGCTGTCTCTTGCACACCCCCTACTGGGGATCTGCCCGTAACCAAGGTACATGCCTTCGACCGGAATCAAACCTGGGACCTTTCAGTTCACAGGGCGACACTCTATCCACTGAGCCAAACCAGTCCCAGCCTGATTTTTGGAATTTTTAAAACGCCGTGGGATGCCGGACAAATTGTTAAAAATTGGGACTATCCCGCCAAAAGCAGGACGTCTGGTCACCTTATGCTTGGGGCTGAGCTGGTCCAAGTGGCCACAGCGATTCATTCAGACCTGCCCTCTCTGCCCCCTCCCTGGACTGCACTGCTGGGTCCGTATGAAAGGTCATGACAAGAGGAAACAGGAGATGGCTTGTACTCCAAGGTGACAAACTAAATGAACTCAAACCAGGGAAATGGGGCATGGTAGGGACTGGGGTGAACTTGAGAGCAATGCCTCCTTGTAAAGACACTCAGATTCAACATGTTCAGAAGTGCTGTGGACAGCTAACAGAACCCAGCTATGGTCTCAAGCTGCCCTGGTCTCCTTCTTTGTGACCTGGGCCGTAGCATCTATGACCGTATTTGGAGTTGGAGCCACACAGACCACACAGGGCAACATGGTCACAGCCAACTGATTTCCAGTCAGACAGGCAAGGGGATTGGAAAGGTAATAGAGGTTCAAGGGCAGGGATTGGGTACAACTGGGGAGAACAGCAGGCCTGGACTCCCGTTCCGTCTCTTTCCTATCTGACAGACCATGTGCTCAAATAGTGGAAGCATTTGGGGCTCCAGCCTCCCATGTCAGCAACTGCTCATGACAGAGGAGGAAAGAGTATTTTGGGGCATCTCATTTTCCACAGGAGCCTCTGTTTGTGTATCACTGTTTTTTGTTGTTGTTTTTTTGTGTGTGTGTGTGTGTGATTTTTTTCAGAGAAATGTCATAAGTCTTAGTAATTTGAGAAAGGTCAGACTGCACTGGGAAGTAATCTGAACTTTAAACCATGTCTTTTTATTACTCAAAAGCTCATATATTAGTGAAATAAATGACTGACAAAAAAGATTTCCAAATAGAAGTCTTACTGAGTCTGCTTTAATGATTCATACAAATAACTGGCAGCAGCTATCATTTGGGGTTGGTAAATGATAAGGGCCAGTCACTGTACTAAATGCTCTAAAATTCATGATCTTGTAAACATTATTTTGTAATTAGTACAGTGCTTTTGGAGTGATCTCTGTGACCTTGATTACATAATCCCTTTTGTATATTTTCATTTCAGAGAGTTGGGTTTTTTCCCCCCTTACATGTACATATATACATATACATATATACAATTATACATATATACATTTATACATAGTCATCACTATTTGGCCCCAAAAGCAAGCTCATTGGTTTGTGGTTAGGTTTAGATTATTTCAGTCTCAGATATGATTGTACTGTGGGCAAAGCTGTGTAGGAAGAGATGATGCACAGGGACTGAGTTCACCCCTGATGCCCCAGGACCGAACAAGTTCATTAAAGACCCTGTGGTTGAACTTGACCTCCTCCTTCCCCTCTTTCTTGCACTACTACTTTCCACAACAGGGACATGTTGGCATTTTTAACCTCTCCCTGCTCCCTACAGCAATCTGAGGGCACAGTGGCATGGCTCATGCCTTCTAAACCTCCTCACAGTCCTCCCAGCCCTTTTTTTAAAAAAATATATATTTTATTGATTTTTTACAGAGAGGAGGAGAGAGGGATAGAGAGCTAGAAACGTTGATGAGAAAGAAACATCGACCGGCTGCCTCTTGCACACCCCCTACTGGGGATGTGCCCGCAACCAATGTACATGCCCTTGACCAGAATCGAACCTGAGACCTTTCAGTCCCCAGATCGATGCTCTACCACTGAGCCAAACCGGTTTGGGCCTCCCAGCCCTTTGACCCTACTCTTCCCCATGCTATCAACTCTTGCTGTCCTTTCTTGCTCTATCCTAGGCAGCATGCCCTGTTCAGCCACTTCAGCCATACCCTCACCAACATTTCCGATCCCTCACCCACCTATCAGCTTCCAACATGCCAACTCTAAGTAAATCTAGCATCGAAATCTGAAGGCACAAGGTGGTTTCTTTTTTCAAGTGATGGCATGCATTTCTCCTTAGATCTAATCTTCATAACCCACATAGTCCAATGAGAGGGAAGGAAGCAGGCACGAGATCCCCGCCCCCCAATCCAGACTCCAGAGCCCCAATAAGGCCTCCTGTCTTGCTGCTCCCCACCCAGGAAGACCTTTCCCCTGATCTTATTGGAGCTTTGCTGAGCAAGTACATGCTCACCTATAGAGCTGGGGATCCACAGGCATTGGAAATCCTGCCCTATTTAATTTCAGAGGAAGGAATCAATGGAGAACAAAACCCTGAAGGTGCAGGAGGGCTTTGCCTTAAAAAGGTGAAAGGGCACATTTGTCTGTGAGCAAGGAAGGAAGAGATGGTGCATGAAACAGATGTTTTGTGGCTGAGTGGAGTTTTAAATAAAGCCCCCATTCCATGGCTGTGAGGTCAGCAAAGCTTGAGTCATGACTGAGATTCTGGAGTGTGGAAAAAGTTTGAAAATGTGTCCTTAGGCAACCTGTGTGTCACGGAGTCAGAGATTCATAGGGGATTTCCAAATGCCATCAGTACCATTTTATGTCAGTGATTATACTTTTACTAAGGTGTTCACATTCTGTCCATGAAGTCAAGAAATGTTGATTATTCCTCCCACATGAATGGAACAATGAAAAAGAGAGAAATAAGCTAGGAGCCCCTGGGGTGTGGAGTCATTGATGGAAGAATTGGGATTTTTGTCCTCTTAGTTCTCATTTTGGCTTGATTTTAGCCAATAGAATATTTTGGCTAAAAGTAGGAATTTCAGGCAATCCCAATTCCTCAAATCTTTTTTGAGCTCTCTTATTAAGATAACTTATGCTTGATATCATTAGGTGTTAGTTGGCAACATTTGTGTTATAATTATTTTTAAAAAATAAATGGGTCTATATCCACCAAAATGGGTTAAATACAAGAATATGTGACTACCCACATATTCTTGGATGCCCATTCAGTGCCCATGCTACATAAGAGGAGTTTTGAGATGTTTTGTTTTAGTTCAACTGCTTATGGTCACCAGACATTTTGTTTTTGGAGAACATAAGCTCTGTGACACTGAGAGACAGGTTCATATTTAATTATTTGGTTCGAGTCATATGTGCAACTGAGTGGGCTTATAATTGAGTTATCTATTTGCCTATCCCTGATCCTTATTAAGCATTCTTATGACAAATTAAACTACATACTCAGTTAGGTAGTAATTGCTTCCAATGTTTACTGCTTCATCCCTATTGATGCAGTCCAGGAAGAACA